GCCCTTTACTTGGATGAATGATAGGCACTAATTCAGTAACAACGCCGTGTTCAGTTTTTGTAAATTCCTCGGGGTCTTGGTCTTTAGTGATTACAATAGAATCATTATTATCGTCGTTGTCATCAGTATCAGAATAAGGTGTGTAATCTTCAACTTTATTTGACTTTTGAGTAAAACATTTACAACAAGTTGTGTTACTATAGTCATCGCTTGCAGGAAGATTTTCTGAATCTTCACCTAGCTGAGCTTCCTGTTCCTCAACTAGGTTTAATGAAAATCCTTTGACGAACTAGCACCATTATTCTTGTTTAGTTTGCGATAGCGGTCTTGCTCCATTCGACGGATATCTTCACTACGCATTTTGCAAAAACGGCGAATGTGACCAATTTTGCCACAGTAATGACAACGGGTGTTTTGTCGAGGAGAGGAGGTCATCACGCTTAAATCCATTGGCTCGCCGGCATAGGGTCTCCTTGGTGGAATAGAACGGTTGGCATTGAAAAATCCAACATTTCGACGATAAAAAGTGGGATTTTCATGTATAGCGCTGTCGTGTGCAATTGCGACACGAATGGCTTCTCTCAAGTTAGTACTTTGGGCTTGACGAACTTGAGAACGGGTATCCGGTTAGAGAGCCGCGCATAAACTTGTCGCATGATTCATCTTCGGTAATTCCTGGGATAGCAGCAATGATGTCCATAAAACCATTAATATAGTCGTTTAGGGAACCCATTTGTCGGTAGGCTGCCAATTTATCTCTGGCAAGTCGGATAGAGTCATCGGGTCGGAAAAAATCCACCAATTCCCTTTTAAGTGTCAACCAGTCTTGTGGTTCTTCTTCAGTATCAGATTCCAGAGTACGGTACCAGGTGTCGGCCCTTCCGCGCAACAATGTGACAGCATAGCACTTAGTTTGTCTGGAATCCCACCTGGAAATCAGCGTAACGTTCCAAGGTACGAACCCATGAGTCAATAATCATTGCATCGCGAGTACCGTCGTAGGTTGGGGTTCAATTGTACGAGGTACACTTCTACCACCATTGTTATTCAAGGCCTTGGTAAATTCTGAATAAGGGAGACAATAGCAGTATTGTCAGACAAATCAGAGGTAGAGTTTTCTTTGGACATTTTTTTTTTCAATATACACCAGTACTAATCAATTAAGATAATAGAGTAATTACAGCACGTAGGCAAAATAAAGATACAATACAGCACTTAGGCACAGATATACAGCACGGAGGCACACAGGGAGATACAACATCAGGAACGGAACGTCTGATGCTACCAATTGTCGATTTGATATTTTACTTAGGTTTGTATTCTTATAGTCAAGTCACGAGACAATAGAACGTTTCTTAGCCAATAGATTCACTGGGAAATATTCTGGAAATAACGTGACGTCACAGAAAGGAACTGTGTATGATACAGTAAGTATAAGATCTTTATTTATAATAAATGTAATGTTACCTGTGTATTGATACAGTAAGTATAAGATGAAGAACTTACAAGTATCAATAACACAGTATTTATATGTTTTCTAATTGTACTAAAATATATAAACTATAACATATGGAGAAGGAAGTAATTAAATACTTAAAGCTGATTGATGTTTCTGTCTTGACGAATCTAAAGTGTGCTTGCTTTACTAATGCGAATCAAGTTGAGGCGGACTTTCTTTCTTCTTTTGTTCAGTACTTGTGGTTTAAACCTTCGTTTGTTCGGATTATAGTTTGTTGGAAGGTTATATTCAACTTCAATTGGCTGTTTCTTACTGGAATCGCTATTTTCTGTGACATTATTGAGAATTTAAATAATTATTCTATTTAACTTAAAAAACTTATGATGTAGTGACGTAAGCAGCCATTCCGATCCGAGTCTGTTTGTGTCCGAGTCGCTTCTATACTATGTGTGTACGTAGTAAAGTGGTGAAGCACCCTCTGAGTAATGGTTGTTCTTGTTCTGGGTGTTGTAATAGATGTTGGTGATGATTCTGGTGCGTTCGTGTGAACATGTGGATCCAAGGGCCAACAAGAATACTAGCAAGCAAAACAATAAGCCATCTCTCATTTCATACAGGTCATGTATTTTCTCAACAGTGTTAATTCCCATAATTTTCTCATACTCTTTCTTATGCAAGTAAATCAAGGCCTTTATTATCTTTACTTCCTTTTTTACCCGTTATCTGTCTGTACCTGTGATGATCTGACATTAAATAAGTCTTCAATTACATAGTAAAACATATCATAATCAATTTACATCAGAAATAGACATAAAAGAACCTCTTGTACTGAATAAGACAATGTATCTTTTAACAGACTAAGACTTATGACTGAAATCCATAATTTACATTATTTAATTAATTTAAAGTAGTCTATGATAATAGAGACTCAGTCATTTGCATGAACTCTACTACTACTTACTCCGACATCTCTTCAAAAATGATAACAATAAAATTGTATAAAACAGTCTCAAAGTATCTACCTTTGTCTATACATTAACTTATCATATAACTCTCTATTATCAAAACATCACAAGAATAAACCTATACAAGTTCTAATCGACTTCTTTGTTTTTTTATCTTTTCTCTTACAACATCACAACAATAACAAATAGAAACAATGTTTTTTAACAAGTTTTAAGATTTAGGTATTTGAACAGTGAATTTTTTATTTAAACCAACGAGTTGCTAGTGCTATCCCAGTAAAGAGGCACTTTATCATGCAGAATTTCACCAAATTCCTTTGCAGCCTTCATGATCGCACGAACATTTTCTTCTTCGGAGCCAAGGAAATCACGTAATGTCCAACTAGGAGCCTCTCCAATCTTTAAAGTCAAGTTTTCAGCAAATCGATCAACCCCAAGCTTCTTTGTAGAGCGAGACTTTATACAAAGAACGGTGTGGTTCAAAAGCAGTAAGATCTACAGGAAGTTCATGATCTTTTCTTTTGATACGAGTCATGTCCCATATCTCATCTTTACAGACTTCAACCACATATCCTTTCCAGTTGTAGAGCCATTTTGTCTTTTGAGTCACCAAATGAGGGACATAATCACTAAAAGTAGCCATGATCAATCGTTTATCAGGTGAAATGCGCAGGGCTTGCCAGAATTTAGAATGAGGTGTATCGAAGTCATTGTTGGGTAATTGACGGGCATGTTGTAGCTTGAGATCCCAAGAGTAACGTCCTTCAATGTTGGTACAGTTGATATCGACTAAATCTGTACAGTCTGTCATAGTGTTCCAAAGAAGTCGAGAGCCTGTTTCAGTAAAAGAGACTTGCATGACAGTATCCCACATATCACCACGCGAAGCTTCACGCTGACCAGACACACGGGGTGGAGCTGCTGCTGGGTACTGCTTTGCATGAACCACAAACGAAGTGCGTGGGTTCTCAGAGTATTCAACAGCATCCGTACCGTTGGAAAGATAGTCAAACAAGTGTTGAAGATGATCCCTTGTTTTGCTCATACAGGGTGCTAAAGCAGACTTGAACATGGGCTTACGGAATATCTTGTCGCTGACTTTTTCAATTGATAGGTATTTATCATCCTTCTTGGGGTAATTCATCAAACAGATACTACCATATCGAATCTTCATACGGACCATCCAGTCATTTAAACGTAAACTTTCGATACCATCTGCCAAACTCTGTTCAATAAAGGTTTCATTGCGTGCATTTAATTTTCGTCCTTGTTCAGACAATTCCTGAGGTCGTTCATCACTCAGACTGATGAGAGACATTGGTGTACCATGAGCCACTGTTTCCAATAATCGGTGCTTTTCTAACATCATTTTCTCTCGTTCAGGGTCTGCATAAGTGTAAGTGACAAATGTACTCGGTAATCGACGGTATCTCAAGAGCCATTGCTTGGAAGGTTGTTGCAATAATCGCAATGTACTTCCAATAGGCTTACGACAACAACGCAAATACCAGTTACGAACACGCTTGCCTGCTTCCCTGACAGATTCCTCTGTATCTGCATTGATTCGGATCAAATTGCCTACTTCTTCGTACCAAAGGAACGCTTTGCATTCAGCCCGAATCGAATTGAAGTATTCTTCACCTCGATCACCCATAAAGCGCACTAAAGGCAAGCGTTTATCAGGCAAAGGAAACACAGCATGGAAGTTTTGAGGTACAGCAGGTAATCCTTGGTATCTTTTCTCTTCGTCCATCTTGGCTTGCTTTCGTTCAGCACGTCTTTTCTCTCTCTCTGTCAATTCGCGCTCAGGCTTACTCCATTTCTTCGTTTTGCGAAGGGAGCGTGTGTCGTTTTCGTTAGCACGAGCAGCAATCGTGTCGAGGTATTCTTTTGTCTTTTTGATAGCGATTTCGTCCCCCCAGATATCGATTTGATTGTAGTCTGAGTTGTATTCAATGTACGAGTTGGAAGCGCGTTGGATTTCTTTGGCGCGTGCCTTGTTGAAACCACCCAGGATATCCATTGGGTTAAAATGGGCAGGCAAGACCCAGTAATCATCAGCGTTTCGATGGACAGTTTCTGGTACGACAGTCGTGTCTGTAAAACTACGAACTGAACCACTTGAGACGGGTGTGTCTGCTCGAGCATGTTGAAGGCTCATGTCGATAGTGGGTGTTTGTTGTCGCGATTGTGATTGTGAAGGTATACGAACAGTGGTATCTCTCCAGTCATCATCATTATCAGAAGCTTCATCGTCGTTAAAGGTATAAGGTATTTCTGGTTCAATAGACATTTTTGATTAACAAAGAAAAGAAAAGAAAATAAAAAAAAGAGAGAGAGAGAGAATTTATTTCTCGATGATGCCTCTATTGTTTTGAAATAGAATAATACCCTTTTTTTTTCATGTTATTTTTATAGAAACAGCCATCATAGAGTGTTGTATAATGTCTGCTTAAATACGCACATACAAAAAAGAAAAGATGCATAATCAAACAGACCCTATTGATTTGGAGGCTTAGATGGCTTTAAAAACGCGTATTTTTCATTTCTTTTTTTTTCTCTCTCTCTTTTTCTCTTTTTATTATATGAACCTTTTGAATACAACAGTAGACACTAAACTTGGAACAATAGCTGAAATTAACGGCAATCTAAGTAAATATAGTTGAATGAACGCGTCTTTCTTTATTTATTCATTCATTGGCTTTAGTCCATGTAGAAAATGAATCGAGTCCAGCTATAAACGAAGTGGCAGCTAATAATGTAGATAACACCTACTTTTTTTTTCTTTTAGAGAGTCAACTCATCGCTTTGATAGATAACCTTATACCCTTCTATTCGCTACAAACAAGTAGAAGACTTGAAACCTGATTATGTTTATACAGCAGCCAAGTCCTCTTCTTCTATGGTGGATACGTATTATAACGATATCAAATCCACACTTAGTCAACAATGGCAAGAAAAGTAAGTAAACCACCACAAACCTTCTTGCTTAACTGTGCTAGATTTCCTATGATTGCAGCTACACCTCTTTATAAACAAGGCAAACGCATTTATGACTATATCTATTCGACTTATTTAAAGCCATCCGATGCTATCCTAGAACACCCTAAATTCAATTCAAACAAAGATACAGTCGTATACATGGCTTGGCACCCACACCAGGACATACTTGCTATAGTTGATAAACATGACGATGTCTACATTTATGAAAAGCATGATACTGTCTGGACATGTCAAGTATTAAGAGACATTCAAATGAAAGACGTAACAGCATTAGAATGGAAGCATAGATCAGCAGGCACCTTGGCTGTTGGATGTAAGCAAGGTGTATGTGTCTGGACAATACCAAGAGTAGCCACAGATCAAGAACCTCAATTCCATCCCTCAGCTTCTATGGTCTATTTGTCCTATCAAGGTCATGATCATGTAAGTTCACTAGCATGGGATCCTACACCCGGTAGTCATCTCTTGGCTGTTGGTTCCGCTGTCTCGAATGCACTTGTGATTTATGATATGTTGCTCAAGAGAACACACGTATTAAAGAGATATGGTCATGGTTGTATTATGTTGCGATGGAGTCCTAATGGTGAATGGTTATTTGAAGGCGGTTCGATTGGTACATCCCGTATGTGGGACACAAAACACTGGGAATCAAAGGTGATCAGTAATCCTCCTGTTTGTGGGTTCAAGCTGCTTGTTGGGCACCCGATAATCGTTCCTTGGTTTTTTCAATGTATGGCAAATCTGATCTTCATGTGTTATTCATGAGTGGTAAGCAGATCCATAGTGTTGTGGATCATCCATTGGCTTCTTTGCCAGTCACTACTGTCACGACTGAATCTAGAGAGCAGATCAAGGCTGGTGGTGTGATTCGCGATATTAGTCTGGATGGCTCCAGATTGGCTATTGCTTTTGAAAATACACCATTGATTGCCTTGTATTCACTTAAACAAGACTCACCTCTTAATTTGAATACAGAGCCTATTCTTTTCCCTATGTAAGTCAGAATGAGATCGTATTCGTCTCATTTATTCGTTTATTCTAGTGGCTATGTTCATGGATCAAGCGTATGTATGGACAACACTGCAATGTCTGTTACTGCTATAGATAGTCAACCACTTGGTATCTCATTTTGCAAGAACCATAAACAAGGCTCAGTCATGGCTATCTTATGGAAGCATGGACTAGTGACATTTGTGACTCACAAGTACCTCACAAATGAAGAAGTGCGAAAAAGATTCTATTAAATAATTTATATACGTGATCTGTAACTTCTAATAAACGTATTGCCAACACCACCAATACCAAATGCAGGACCAATACGACCAATACGGGCTAATGTACTCTTGAGATATTCTTTACGGATAAGAAATGTACGATTGGCTATGGTGGCACCAGGGCGATTATAGATGTCCAATGCATACAGATGAACAGGTGTGCTTGCTAATTGAACAATAGCAGGGCAAGCAAGTTGAGCTGCTACCTGAGATGATTTCTGGCTGAAAGAGGCAGTCTGTTGAAGCCAACTAGCAATATAAGGAGGTGCTGTAAACTAGCAGCAATCGTCAATGAATCTCTGGCAGCAAATAAAAAGTAAGATAGCTTAGGCAATGCTCTTGAGGCAGTCACACCAAACATACGAGCAAACACTTTATCCTTATAGACACATAAACCAATATTGGTTATGCTGGTTGTGATAAATTTATATAAAGATGTCTTGACAGGATCTACTGAATAGTTTTCACAGGTTGTTTCGACAAGATTAGCCGTTGTATAAGTTGAGAAATAGAGACCGAGTACAATACGGAATTGTGGTGATACAGTAAATTGAAAAGGATTTGACAGAAATGAACGCAAGCCGTATTTTAAGCCATCTGTTAATTGTCTTTTACCGTTTAAATTTTCAATAATCGATCTACATGCATTTGCATTAATTTTTTTTTTTTTTAATTTTTTTTTATTTTACCTGTCTACAATAGCAATAAAAGGTGAAACCATAGCAGCAGAAGAAAATGCAGCAAACAGATCAAGACCATAAAGCCTTAGTAGTCTATCTTTGGTATATAACAAAGGCTTCTCTTTTGAAATCGATAGTTCTGTAGACATAACTCTAAAATAATAATAATAATAATATAATAATAATAATAATAAAAGAGAGAGGGAAGGTGAGAAAAATTATAGATGTTCTCTATTTATAAACAGGATATTGAAATTCCGTATCGATTTGTTATTTGGTAAAGTATGTATGACTCTTTGTTACTCTTGTGTTTTCTTTCTTTTTTTTTGTCTTCCATTTTGCTTCGCTCCCCCTCTTTTCTTTCATTTTGATTGTAAAATCACTGGTTAAAAAATAAAATTGAGACTCAAGCTACTTTTCGATGACACATACACGTCGTTTTTGATAAAATACACAGTGTTAAAGGGACACAGAAAATGATGATTAGTCCAGGACAAAAAAAAAAAAAAAAAAAGGGTTTGTGTGAGAAAGGAATATGACAATAGGAATCCTATTTAGTCTAATTTAACACCTTATCACCGGCCCATCTTTGTTTTTGTACCTTATTTTATAATCACTTTTTAAATCAGTGAATTGATGCACATATGTTGTACATCTTGTTCAGATCAAACGAGTGTGACTTGAACCTTGTGAAAATAAAGTGTAACGATAATAAACTAAAGCTTTCTTCTTTCCTCTTTCTCTTCTTTTTTTTTTTTTCTTCTTTTTCTTATTTCTTTTTATGTGGTTAAAAATCAAAGGTAAAGCTAAAAAGAAAAAAAAGAAAACAAGATAAGCACAATCCACTCATTTCAATTCAAGTAAAGAATCTTATTTACTTTTCACCCACTGAGAATATTGCACAAGAAACAAATCAAACTCAACAAACAACACATCAAAGCAAGTCTAAACTAAACCAGAATGAATCCAATAGCCATGAACACAAAAATCATGCTATGTTTGATCAAATCCTATCTCAATTCATCAGTCTATCACACAGTCTAAAGATAGATATGAATACAGAAAAAACAAAACAAGTCTTCATACAGAATAAAGAGACAGTCAAAGACGAACAAGCCATGTTTGAACTTTTAATGCAGGCCTGGAAAGAAGATATTGAGCAACAATATAAAGATACAGCATCACAGACTGTAGAAGTCAAGAAACAATTAAACACAATAGAACAAGAAATCAAGAATTTCAACAGACATTAAAAGACATGAACAAACGACTAAATAACATTCGCCAAGAGACAGAAATATCAACACCTGTTGTATACAAGGACAAGACTGAGTTAGAAGAAGCACTCAAGGTCTCTGTTGAACGTATGACAAGCAATAAAATGGACGGATTTGATGTACTATGCCAAGAGATTGCTGATATCAACACACCGCTATATCAAAGTATTCAAGAAATAGACCACCTATTCAACAGCCATGGACCATGGCAAATAGACTTTAAAATGAAGATGTATAAATGCTTTGATATTCAATATGATCCATATTATGTCAATATGTTAAGGAGACATATGCATATCAACACAGAAGAATGTTTAGATAGTTATTTACTGGCATGTCATGCACTGGCCAGGTATTATGCCATTCCTTTTGACTAGGTAGTGTATCTCAAATAAATGATATTTATTTACCAAATCGTTGTTCCACTTTGGAGTATTTGTATAAACACTTGATAAATACATCATAATTCAACTGGTGTTCACTATAACAATTCCTAAAAAGAGATTTAGTATACAAGGCACGTGTCAGAAGAGAGGGACTTACATAATTTCAGTTAATCGAATATGCCAAGGAGGATAACCATCCAATGAAACGTAGTTATGTGGAAGACCATCATAGCTAATCATCAAATCAGGATCAGAAATAGTATTCACTATCACCATACATTAGCAAATGGCTCTTTATAGACACTAGTCCCTTACGATGCATATATGTGTTTACTAATTCAATGTCTATTGCCTGTTTGTTGTTTTTTATCATTTCTTGTACTACATATCCCATGTGTGGTTTCCCATTTTCACCTGATAAAACTGAAAATTTGATGGCTTATAAAAGTCAATGACATCTATCGTCTACAACCGTGTACTTTACCTGGTCTATTCTTTTCCATTTGGTTTGTCATCCATTCATGTAACATAGTAGATTGCTGTTTATAAAGATCAACTGCCATTGATTTAAAAACTCCTTTTTGTATGAAATGAGTCATGTATTCTGCTTTCTTATTGCTTTACCTGATGCATCATACACAGATACCTCTTGAATACCAAATTCCCAAGCCCAACATGTAGCCATACAAATGTCCAGCATCATTGTGTCCCAGTCCTTAAGACTTCTTGAGCTCAATAACTCACGAGAAATATGGATAGCAAGGTGGTTTGGTATTTTTGTCAATTGTCGTTTATCAAACTGCATGCGTGCTTGAATATCTGCTTTTGATTGATAGAATGTAGTATAGAGATAGACTGAAAATGAGATATAGCCAATATACAATAGATATAAAAAGTGCAATATGTACAATATCACTGTTAAAAATACATCGAAAAGTGAGTTATTTTGTTCTTGAATAGGCCTGCTTCTGTTTTTGATTTCTTGCTTTGATTCTATGGTATTTGTCATTGAAATGTATTTTGGTATCTTTTCATTGGTTGTCGAGAGATGCAAAGGACTGTATTCTACTTCATTATTATTTGTTGTAATAATGGTTGTCATAATGTAAAGAGATATATAACTGAAAAGAAGAAAGAAAAGAAATAAAAATGAAATATTTTTTTTATTTTTTATTTTATTTCTAATTCTAAATTTAGTCACAACCCTATGCCTTTGTTTCATTTATAGCCATTTTTTCTACTTCTTTATCAGGTTCAACTGTGTCTTGTTTCTTTTCAGAAAGAAAGGCAAGCCATAAAAATGCGATAGCCAAGACTAATAACCAGATACCATAAAGAATATACAGTGGCATTGCTGCTTTTTTGATCCTCATACCTAAAGGAATATTAATTAATGCCATAAACAGTAATAGTCGGCCAAGCCAAATATGAACATGATTGTTCCAAGGGCGTTTAGGAGGCAAACAATGATGCTTTCGACGATAACGAAACAAGAGATGGTTTACAGTACCCAACATGACTTGAGACCATACTCCAATAGATAAAGCAGTGCCAATGCCCTACAAGGAACTAGGTAAGTTCATGCCTAATATTTTTCATTCAATACGATACAGAATGTGGTTTGAGTTTAAGTTGACCAGATATACCAAATGCAATAAATGCTGAAATAGTAAAAGGCACAAATCCTGCTGTTGTCATGATAAGCATATGTACTTTGGGCCCCATGTTTTGCCCTTTTTTCTTGCAAGCATATTCATGCCCATAGCCACTGGGACAGCAAGCATCCATACAAATACCATAAGTGCAGCATGTAATAAAATAAGCTTGTTTTTTGTTTCTGGATCCATAATGAAGAAGAAAGGAAGAAAAAAAAAAGGAAAAAGAAAGGTGGTTGCTTTATTCTCATATCAGTTTTACAGCATTTGTTAATTTCCCTAAAGGCTCTTTCATCTCTTGAGGAATGTACTCTAATAATTTTTCAAACAGTCTTGTTCTTTCTGAAAACAAGATGTCTTTTCAAACATGTTAGAGAGTCAAATACATTCTGCTGATTTACCTTCAGTTTCTACAATGTTTGAAGCAAAGACATCCTTTTCTTCATCTTCATCCATCATTGTTTCCAACAGACAAAGGTTGGCACACATTTGATGAAATTCTTTTGATTCCTTTTCATTTTCATAATCTACTACGGGTGCTACTTGATTTCTAAGATATTTTAGAACACTTAATGTTTCCAGGTTGACATTGGCTTCTTGTGTCTTTTGCATACAAGCTATTTGATTACAAAGTTCTTTCAGTTTCTGCATACGAATCATATAGAAACACCGTCTCAAGATAGAAGAAGGATCAGGCCTAATGTCATTAGTAATCATACTTGGCAACAGTGATACATACTTGACCAATCTGAGTTCCCAGAAATCATTCAATCGTTTACTTGGATTTGAATTATCACCAGGATTGCCACCAAATATGTACTGGACTCGATGCACGGCATCATACACCATTTGATGAGCATAACGAGGGCATGGCTCTAATAAACTTGTCTTTTTGTTTTCATTCTGATATATTTTATGCCACTCATTTTGTTTGATAGAAAAACCTAATGCATTCTTGACAACATCTGAGTTTGTGTTGCGCTTATAGCCTGATAGAACATAGAGTTCTTCTAATGCAGCATCAATTGTTGCACGCTGATTAAAACCAGCATCGGGTCCAGCATCTTTGGTATAGTCTTGAGCTATTTCTGTAACCATATCTTGGTCTACATCGTAACGATAGAGGTCAGATAAATAGTCTTTGCCACGTTGGCCAGCAAACACATAGAGGGAGCGATTCGTCTGATCAAAAAGCATTGAATGGCCTACACGAGATTTCAAGGGCGCATTTTGTGGACAATGGGGAGAGGTAGAAGGTGAATTGGAAGTTGGCTTGGTATCATCATTTCTATTCCCCATATTAGACCTTTTTTTTTTATTTGTTCATGATTACCTAACAAGCTTCCACTGATTTGATTTGATATGGTAAGCATAAAGACCACTGTAGTTTTGTACTGTCGTGTCTCCATTGACTGTTCTTCCACCAAATACATAGAGTGTCTCACCACTTGGATCCACACACATTTGGTGGTCAAATATAAGTTCAGGGCCACCTTCACACTATACAAGCATAAGCTAGTGTTCTGCATGATAGGCACTACTTACAGCTGTATGGTTGCTGATTTTGATCCATTGATCGAGTGCAACGTAATACGATAAAAATCGGAGCACAAGGATTCTGCTGCATTTGTTGCCTGCGATGACTCTACGTATCTACCTAAAACAAAAATAGACTGGCTTGTTGAATCAAACAGACTTTATGGCATGAACGAGGACCTGGGCCACCTTGACTTGTTTTGATCGATCAATACACCTACACACTGTGTTTTCTTACTTACATTTGCGTATCTTCACTGAGCAGTTTCCACTGATTTTGTTGAATATCATACGACCAAAAATCAGACAAATCTTCCTTTCCATCCCAACCGCCCAAGATATAAATCATTTGATGATCTACATCAATACACATCTGATGTCCTCCTCTCGGCATAGGAACAGGCGCTTGCTTTTCTTGAGGCTTGAGTTGTCTCCAGATAGGTTTATAGGTTGCATTGTCTGAATAAGTTCGATAGATTTCACATTCATGATGTGCTAGTTGCAACACTCGCTCAGCTGCTTCAAAATCAGTCTCCACCACTAAATACTGATGTAGTTGAGATAACAGAGGGTGTTCTAATTCAACACCTGTCTTGTCTTTAATAAAGTAGAACGTATCCATCATATTTCTCTGGCGAAAGTATTTTAAGCATAAGCGGACTGTTTCTGTTTCTTTGTACTATATGAAGAGTCAATAGGATCATTCGCGTTTTATGTTTACTTGCAGTTTCAAATTCTGAACACACTCTTTGGATCACAGCTGGTTCATTGATGCCACGCACTTCAAGATACCAAATACTGTAATTGAAATTAGCACCAAAAGCAGACAATGGCACAATTTTGATGTATTTAATGGGGAGAATCTAAAGTGAAATGAGTTGAAAGCATTGGTTTGATAGTCCCCATACCAAGTTTTTGTATTGATACTTTAACGAAAATGTTTCTGGTTCGGTATCATTTCTTAAACCTATATGTATATATATATATATATGTATAGTGTATTAGGATGAGATATAATTAACCACAACAAGCAAACCATGATGTAGCAATTCAATCATATCGTCTTTTGGATCCACGCCACCATAGACCTTAAATTCTTTCAAGTTACAAACATGTCCTTTATGAAATTTACCAAACATGACAGAACCTTTTTTTCGTCTTTCTTTAGAATGCCTGTAATTTTTCCGAAATATTAAAACTTACGAGCAATGACGGGTTTATCGAATTTGATGGTAATAAACTGTTCATGGTCATTCAGTCCACTTGACCATCTAGAGGCTTGTTGTGTAGGTTGATTTACAATGATGTTCTGTGGGTGATAAGATCCCGAATAAGAAGAACAATCGTAAATACTGTATTTTAACTTGACTTGTCTTGCTTTTGACATCATAGATATTAACGTATTTTTGTGATGATCCATAGGTGCATTAGCAGTATTGTTTGTATGGACTTGCGAGGCACGATCCATGTGCTGCTGTGTAAGTGCAGCTACATTCATGGTGTCCTTATAGACTGGATGGTGACTATAATAAATGTTATTCAGGCGATGTTGAATGGATTTTCTTGTTTCAAGCATGTCTGAGAGTGCTCTTGAAGAAGAGGGAGGTGATCTCTTGTTCTGTTGGCATTGGTTTTCCGGTATGTAGCTCATAGGATGATACACTGCTTCAGACAAGAGCTCTTTGTCTTCTATGGTATTGTTGCCGATAATGGAAATGTCATGTTGATGTGTACTAAGGTTTGAAGTAGGTTCACTACTACTGCTACTGTCACTGTCATTGGGATGAAAGTCCATGTTAAATCAGTTTGAACCGAAAGAAAAAAAAAAAGAGAGAGAGAGAGATGCCCTTTAGATCATTCTTGAATAAATGCATATATAAGACAATGAAAAATGCTAGGTCATGTGATCAAAAACAAACGGAAACATTTCCTAAACACATTGTTACACTAGTAAACAAACCATACAAGCGTCATAAACATTGAAAAAGGGAAATAAGCTCATTTTTTTCCACTTTGTAAACCATCACGTCACTTTGTAGCCTGTGCTTCTTTATCTATAGTATATCTTTTGTGTTTGTAGCCCGTGCTGCGTCTCGAATTGGCCAATAAAAAGATTGCACTACATCCCCCTCCCTCCACAACCCCCAAACGCATCATTCTTTTCTTTTTTTTTCCTCCTCTTTTTTCTTAATTTTTCTTTCTTTATCTTTTTTTTCTTTTAAAATAAATCTCCCTTTCCTTTCCTTTCCCTTCTCCTATATATATTTCTGAATTTATTATGCCTGACGATAACAAACCAATGGAACCACGAAAAAAGCGAGCAAAAATCATGAGCGCCTGTGGTGAATGTCGACGCAAAAAAACAAAGTGCA